AACATGTAATCATCATGGAAATTTTATAATAGGCATACGTACCAAGTTTCATCTCTATGCGTGCTACCATTGGAAAGTTAGAGATGTGAAGAAGTTAATTTAAAGAAAAGTGCCTGAGGCTATTTGTTGTTATTTACAAACATGTATTGCTGTGATTTTGATGTTGGCTATTGATTACATTGTGTATACAAACTTTCGCTCCCATAACTCTTACCAATTGTGAGTTACACTGACACATGTAGTATGCCCATTATAACGTATTGCCCATTATAATGTATTGCCTGGGGCAATTTTGTTGTTGTTGTATACCTAGCATCATAGATGTATGGGGCTATGGTTCATCTTCTTCTTCTTCTATAAACCAGCGTAACTCAAAAACCGAAGGAGATAAAGCTATGAAATTTTGTAAGAATGTACATATCGATAACGACATGTGCAACGTCATACTTTTTGTTTGTAAACGATGTTGTTTACTGCTGCAAATTTAAAAAAAGAGGCATATAGGGATGGTATAAAAAGAAAGGGAGACAAGATAGGGATTGGATACATGAAGCATGGTTAATGAACAGATTTGAGTACGCTGACACCCCCAATCCCATCACACCATCCCTATATTGTTGCCTAGGTGAAGTATTAAACATTCACCATTACAATACTCAGAGCTTATAATGCACTATACTGAGTAACCAACACCCTTATAGAGTCCAAGTGTAAAGGGAATGTGGCAGTATAATTGCTTGCTTTTAGTAACCTTTAAGAGTAGCACACCAGGCAACAATATAGGGATTGTGTGATGGGGTTGGGGGTGTCAGCGTACTCAAATCTGTTCATTACCCATGTTTCATGTATCCCATCCCTATCTTGTCTCCCTTTCTTTTTATACGATCCCTATATGCCTCTTTGCAGGATTTTTATTTACTTGTATACTAAGTACTACCGTACTTAGTGATAGGGATGGGCATGGTACCTAGCATCATAGATGTATGGGGGGAGTTTTGTTCATCTTCTCCTCTTTTTCTTCTTCAGATTCAACACCAATAACTCAGAAATGAAACAACATATAGTAATGAAATTTTGTAAGAATGTAGATATCCGTCACCCGAAGAGACTGGTCATACTTATTTGTTTGTAAACATCATTTTTTACTGTAAACAACAACAAAATTGCCTCAGGCAATATGTTGTTATGGGCAATACATTATAATGGGCATACTACATGTGTCGGTGTAACTCACAATTGGTAAGAGCTATGTGAACGAAAGTTTGTAGACATAATGTATTCAATCACCAACATTAAAATCACAACAATACATGTTTGTAAACAACAACAAATAGCCTTAGGCACTTTTCTTTAAATTTACTTCTTCACTCCTCAAACTTTCCAATGGTAGCACACATAAAAATGAAACTTGGTATGTATATCTATTATATCATTTCCATGACGACCGCATATTGTTTGAAAAAGCCTCAGGCAATTTTCTTTAAAATTACTTCTTCACTTCTCAAACTCGCTAAAGGTAGCACGCATAGAGATGAAACTTGGTACACATGCGTATTATACCATTTCCTTGACAACTTCATGTTTCCATGACGACCACATATTGTTTGAACAACATCAAATAGCTTCAAGCACTCTTCACTCCTCAAACTTGCTAACGGTAGCGCTCATGGAGATGAATGCATATGACATCGTTTCCATGACAACCATATATTATTTGAACAACGACAAATAGCCTCAGGAAAGAAAAGAAGCATATAGGGATGGTATAAAAATAAAGGGAGACAAGGTAGGGATGGGACACATGAAGCATGGTTGATGAGCACATTTGAGCACACTGACACCCCCGACCCATCACACAATCCCTATATTGTTGCCTAGGTGAAGTATAACATTCACCATTACAATACATAATACAAAAAAGTCATGCTACTGAGTAACCAACACCATTATAGAGTCCAAGTGGAGTTTAATTAAAGGGAATGTGGCAGTATAAAAGTAGAAATGTTACTAAAAACAACAGGGACACGTGAAAGAATGTAACCTTTAGCCCTTCTATAATGGCACATATTCCCTATAAAAGAGCACACTCCCATCCCTATCCTGTCTCCCTTTCTTTTTATACCATCCCTATATGCTTCTTTTCTTAAATCCGCAGGATTTTTAATTTACTTGTTGTAGCCTACACTTGCCTCGTTTACACGCTTCCCGCGTCCAGCTCGTTTACGCTTTCCACTGCACATGCGCACAATGTCGGGTGTGCTCTAAATGGATAACGGTTGCACATGCCATGTGCTCAGAAACATGGCGCAGTCCAAACCACCGAGGGCACCTGGATGTGTATGAAAGCTCTGGACCATGGAAAATATGATGGCTGCCATCAAAATGATCGAAGATGGTCTTGGTCGGCAGTGCAACGTTCCTGTAGAGACTTTGCGCAGGCGGGTGGTGGGTGCAGTGGGCGTCGATTGCAAGCCGGGGCCGCCCACTGTTTTGACGCCAGATGAGGAGGTAAAGCTAGTGAATTACATTATAGAAATGAGCGATATGGGGTTTGGATTGACTAGGCAAGACGTTATGCAGATAGTATACCAAATCGTTACTAAATCTGGAAGGCCACATCTTTTTTATGGCTCAGCAGGGCCTTCATGGTTTGAATCGTTTCAGTGTCGACACCCCAATTTCACTCTTTGCTCTCTGCTCAGCCACTTTCTTTTGCCCGAGCAGCAGCTGCAAACAAAGAAGTAATTGCTGACTTCTTTGCTAAGCTCGGTGCAATATGTGCCCGTCTCAATTTGCTTGCAAAGCCCATGCAAATATTCAATGTCGATGAGACCGGCATATCAGTTGTGCATAAACCTGGTTAAGGCAGTAACCGAGCTTGGCCGACGTAATGTGTGGGAGGTGGCATCGGCAGAGAAAGGAAAGACCGACACAGTTGTCACTTGCGTTTCGGCATCAGGTTTTTCTGTTCCTCCTATGCTCATATATCCAAGAAAGAGGTTAACTGAGCGACTGAAAAATGGGACCTTCCCTGGAACGCTTTTTGCATGCAGTGATAATGGTTGGATCAATCAAGTCCTTTATCTCGAATGGTTTAGATTTTTTTGTTGCCAGTATTCTTCCTACACGTCCTGTTTTGTTGATAGAAGATGGTCATAGCTCTCACATTTCTCTTGAGGTAATAAAATTGGCCAAAGAGAATGACATTCATCTTCTCTGTTTGCCTGTCCACACTACACACTTGCTGCAGCCACTGGATGTTGGTGTCTTCAGATGTTTAAAAAGTAATTTTTCCAAAATGTGCAAGCAATTCCTTGCTGTCAACCCTGGGCAAGTTATAACCACTGACCTCATAGCTTCACTACTAGCTTAAGCGTGGCCACTGTCTGTCACTCCGGTTAATGTCATGAGTGGTATCAAGAAATGCGGCATTTACCCTCTTAATCCTGGCGAGATCTCAGACCGTCAATTTGCACCCTCCAGAGCAGTGGTCCGCTCACAAAGTGACCCACAATTGTGCACATCACAATTCACTCCTGAACAAATTGCTCTTTTTCAAACACGTTACGAGGATGGGGTTTCATCTGGAAGACTCGGAGTATGCAAAGTGGCTTCGAACTTACCACCCGGAAGATGGGGGTTCAGTGGCCTCGGGGAGTTCTTATGGTGTCAGCACAGCTAGTAACCTCTCTTTGAAGACATACGATCCTGGATCATCTAGTTCTCTTCCATCTTCTTCATAAAATCCTGCTGATACTCACAGTGAAATGTTGGTTCTCCCAAAACCAAAACCACGCAAGCCAAGGAGACAGGGGCTGAACACAAGAGCTTTGCTTATCACTGATGACTCTGTTGTGAAGGATATTGAAAAGAAGCAGGAGGACAGAAGGCTGAGAGACAAACAGAAAGAACGTAAGAGAATTGAGCAGGAGAAGCGGAAGGAACGTGGAGCAAGAAAGAGAAGGCAGCCGTCTACAGGGAAGCAGCAGGTCGAAAAGAAGAATCAGAAACGGAAGAGCTCGCGAAAGACACAGAAGAGCAAAGAGTCAAATGAGCCTGAGACGAGCAACGGTGATGGTGAAAGTGATGCTGAATGCAGAAAGTGTGGACTTGCATACAGGAGTGACAGTGATGGCAGTACATGGATATGTTGTGACTTTTGTAACAGATGGTATATACCATTTGGTGTGTACTGATGTTTTACCTGATGAGATAACAGCTGGTACTATTAGTGCGTACCAGTGGCGTAGGAACCACGGGGGCTCCGGGGCTGGCACCCCCCTATATTTTCTCGGGCTTGCATGTAGAAAGTGAGCGAGTGTGACAGCGATCGCGCGCAGCGTATGATTTTTACGCATGCGCACTGGAGCCCCCCTTTGTCTGAACATCTTCCTACGCTACTGTGTACTGAAAGTTTTCTGGTGAAATACTAGATGAATTTGTATGTGTCTGAATGTGTGCATCTTTTGAGTCTCTGTAACATCTGTGGCTATATTTGATTTTTTTTGTCATACGTATTCGTCAGTTTATAACCTGTCCCATATCCAACACTATTAGTCTAATGTGAAAATCCTCTGCCGCTTTGACAAATGTTTGTTATACGGCGAATAATTCAGTGTGCATACATGTTGTCGCAATTATGTAAATATCACTTTGATAGCCGCTAGTGTTATAGGTGCACCAAGCCTAAATGCTTATAGGGTCATGTACCTTACACATGCACGTAGGTCCTCGCACTACCTCTCAGTACAGTAAGGAGCACCACCGCGTTCAAAAGCGCACACTACTTATCAAACCACACCACCCCTCCATCATAAGTACAACCTTTCACATCACAAAACCACCACGTCTTGATGGAAATAACCTCTTCCTATCCAGTGGCTAATTTTGGCGGTGATCACCTCCCATACTCAGCTTTGAGCTCGAGGACCAAAAGCTTATAACCGTTACAACCAGCCATTGTAGACATCTAGATCTATAACAACCACTCACTGACTCACCTTATTATAGGATCACGTAACTCGACAGCCGTTCTACCAACGCTGTAAAAAAACTGCACTTCTGCTCTCTACTGCCGGTGTCAACAGTTTTATCCCCCGTATATTTTATCCGGGGGGGATAGAATACTCTTAGTGTGGAATATCCGGGGTCCGGATATTTTATCCCTCTAATAAGAAAAATTTCTGCGCATACGGTTGCGCATCTAAACGCGCGGAAAAATCGACCATTTTGTTGGCGCCGTCGCTGAATCTGCACGACTGCACTCCTTCTCTTCTTCTCTTCGAGACACTCAGCGGCTGCGCGTGTCTGCTCGCCTTCACGGCTACCCTCTCGACGTATTCTGCGCGCTGCTCATCATGGCATCTGCTATGACAGAAGAGCGGCACAAAGAGCTTGTGGAGTATCTTTTTTCTTTTTTTTTTAGTATTTTTTATATGAATTTATAATCATACACAATAGCCAAAAGGTGTATGAAAATTAACGATTAAATATTTAGCCATTCCTTCAAGGATGATTTGAATGATGGGAGAGTTTCAGATGATCTTATATCAAGAGGTAACTTGTTCCTATGTGAGCAGGTATTAGGCACAAATGAGAAAAGATACGAGTTTGTACGAGAGAAAGGTTGTAAAAATAGACAGCAGTATGTAGACTGAAGAGAAGAGGCTCTTGGTAAAAACACATTTGGGGGGAAATCCATCAGGTGATTTACAATTTTATACATAGTACAAAGATTGATATACTTACGACGAATGTCGAGTGACGGGATATTGCAGATAAACAACAGAGAAGTGTAATCTAGGTCCCATTGCTTTACACAGAGTCTTAAAGCAAATTTCTGAACTTTTTCAAGTTTCTTAATGTCTTTAAGTAAATAAGGATTCCAAACCTCGCATGCGTATTCTAGACATGGCCGAATGAGAGATATATACAGCTGCAGAAGATTTGTAGACGATGTGTGAAGGTAGAATGTTCTGCGGGGGGCAAGACGTGCATCTCCACTCTACCTACCTGGCTTCACAAGCAATGAGAAGCGTGCACTTCGTCAGCAGGCTGCAACATTTGAGGAGAAGGATGGTGTCCTTTCATTCTTCGACAGGTCCAAATAGGGAAACATTATTATGCTGTGTTGTTGTGAATGACACCGAGAAAAAACGACTCATTCAGGCATGCCAAGACGGGATTGATGGAGGGCGTGACAAGACACTGAGCAAGGTATATTATATTCAGGGTTGCATGTAGGATTCTTTATGGGGTATGTACCACCAGTGGTGTCAGTAAGTAGTGTGATAATTACCCTCGGCGCGCATGCACAGCGAGGGTCTGTCTGTCTGTCTGTCTGTTACTCTACATTTCACTTCACGGGTGTTTGTTCATCTCACAATTGATATGACCTACTTAACGGGCAATGAAGGTCAGAATTTCGAACGGTTTTCTCTGAAACTGCTCCGTTGCAAAGCTAGAGCGCGAAAAAGCCAATATGCAAATACTCCGCGGACGGGATGGCTCACCACGGTCCGATCGATCCCTGTGCTCTGCGTACCTCGGAGGCACCAGAAGATGCAACGCAGGGCGTGTATCGCCTCTCGCGTGCTATCTAGAAGTGTTAGTTAGCCCGCGTCAGACTCTGCGCGAGCTGGCAAGAGACCACACGAGTAACAGCTAAAACTAAACCCAGCCCATCAATTATTGGTACCGCGCATGCGTTTACTTACGCGTACGTGTCACAATCCGCCGAGGGTTTGCACTTCAGTGCTTTTCATTATACGGTTATATACGCAGGCAGTTTTTCATGGTAGCAATTTTTCTGCAGCTTTCAACATACTGGTGGAAAGGAATGGCAAATGATGTATCAGAGTGTTGCAAACCATGTGACACATGTCAACGGGTTAATAACCGTCTTGAGGCTGAAGAATTGCATCCTATCCCTGTCACTGATGTCTGGAAACAGATTGGAATGGACCTGATTAGTATGTTCCAGATGATATGGATGATTGTGTAACAACATGCATGTTTTTCATGATGCATACTGTAGGTTTTCATGATGCATACTGTAGGTCCACTGACTGAGACACCTCGGGGAAACAAGTACATCATCACGGCCACTGACTACTTCTCCAAGTGGCCTGAAGCTGCTCCACTGCCTGATAAAACTGCAGTGGGTGTGGCAGATTTCCTGTTCTCTCTCTTTTGTCGTCACGGCTGGCCTGAGAGGATAATATCTGACCAAGGAAGAGAATTTGTGAATGCTGTCTCAAGGTATATTGGTATACACATTACTTAAGCATACTCCACCGAGTTGATTGTGCATGCATGCTAGATATAAAAAAATTTACAATTAAGATGACTATAGGTATGCTATTTCTGCTTCAGCTTTTACATATGGTGATGTTTTGTGCTTTTTGTGAGTGATGGCATTTTACATTTTAGGGCCTTGTATGAACACACCAACATTGAGCATCGCATCAGCAGCCCCTACCACCCACAGACAAATGGATTAGACGAGCACACTAACCAAACGTTAGTACACACATTGACAAAGCTTACCGAGTCAAAGGAGGAGTGGGACCAGTGCATTGATGCTGCACTGTATGCGTACCGCATTGGCATCCAAGATTCATCCGGATTTAGCCTGCTGTACAATCGTCACCCAAGAAGGGGCATTGAACATGAGCTAAGAACTGCAACAGATGGTCTCCAGTGTGAAGTAGATGCTGAATCTACTAATACAGTGATGGAGAAGCTACTAGATGTGATGAAACAGTACCATGACAAGGCACGTAACAATATCCAAAGTGCCCAGAAGCGACAGAAAGAGTACTATGATGCTAAACAGGACAGCAAACACGTAAGTGATTAGCCAATGATTCTCCCTACAATAATTAACCCCTTTGCATGGCTGAACAGTGTACGAAGGGGGTTAAAAACAGAAACCAGTATGCGTCGCTTGTTGATACCGAGTTTCAAACTATTTAATACGCGCGTGATGGACAAAGTTTCAGAACCGGGCAGCAGACCCTTTCCAATTTTGTGGTGGGGTCTGGGCACGAGACTACCTGGGCGCTTGAGTTCGCCTTAGCTTATTGGGCTTTGTGTTGTCAGCTTACGCATGCGCTTAGAGTTGGTCAGTCAGGTTTGGCTCTAGTGTTTAGCTGCACTGGTGAAAAGCTGAAGCGAGTCTACGCTCCACACTACCCTCCGTTTTGTCCGACTGCGGGAAAAGTCGAAAGAAAATTGGTTTGTCGTGAGATCACACGTAGCTTGCGCAGACTGACACATCGATTGCACTTAGTCGGAGATCCATGATAATATCCACGATGAAGCCTTTAGTGAAGGCCCAACACCATTCAGAAACAAGCAAATTCAGCTGAGTTGAGAGTATTCGGCACCAGATGAGATTGGGTTCTGAGTTCTGGCCATCTCAGTATAATTATGAGATTGGGTTCTGAGTTCTCCATCTCAGTATAATTATGAGATTGGGTTCTGAGTTCTCCGAGATTGGGTTCTGTGAGTTCTCCATCTCAATAGATGAGATTGGGTTCTGTGAGTTCTCCATCTCAATAGATGAGATTGGGTTCTGCGTTCTCCATCTCAAGATATGAGATTAGGTTCTGAGTTCTCCATCTCAATAGATGAGATTGGGTTCTGAGTTCTCCATCTCAAGATATGAGATTAGGTTCTGAGTTCTCCATCTCAATAGATGAGATTGGGTTCTGAGTTCTCCATCTCAATGGATGAGATTGGGTTCTGAGTTCTCCATCTCAATTATAGTTGTCATCGGGGGTTCTCTATGAACCTCAGTTGAAGAGATTGGATTCTGAGTGTTCAATATTACATAGATGAGTTCTTCATCTAATGGGCTCTGGATCTCTATGGAAATGGGTGTCCCTCAAGATCTATTCAAGAAGGGGTTACATGATAACAAATAAACCTTTTAAGCATTTCAGGGTGCCGGTAAAATGATTTCCCCCCTATCTTTTAGTTACCAAGGAAGAAATCAGCAGGATACCAACATGGTCATTATTTTAATGACCAAGCAGTGGTCAATGAATGCATAGAGAGCTCACCTCAGAGACCTCACAAAGTAATTACAGTACTGCTGGTAGAGCCATTGCACCATCACAAGAGCACTGACAACCTTAGGTAAAAAGGTAAGACAACAATACCGTTTCTTCTACCTTTCTCCGATTAGAAACACAGCCAAACAAAGCAGTCTCATCAACTGCTTTGTGTCTGATAGAAGACCTGATTATCTTACCAGCTAAAAGTCATTGCATCCCTGCTCAGTTCAGTTAATAATATAAATAATACTCAGGTGGCTGCCATAGCACTAGGGCCATAGACCACGCACCCAGAGCAATGAGCGGAACCGTTAACAAACGAACATACACCATACGAACATGAGGTGTCTGTCTCACCTCCCAGACACCTCAACTCACCCCTTCCACCAGCAACACCCTGCAGCTCCCCAGATGCAATCTGAGATGGGTCTGTTTGTACGCGGGGATTATCGCCGTATAAACCTAACCTGTCTTAGCTCCCAAACATCCAAAATAAAACCTTTAACAAGGCCAAGCAAAGAACCAAATTTATCCTCCCACAGCTCACTACCCAATATAAGGATGCTTCCTGAAACTATCAAGCGACTGGAAATGCTCAAACCCATCATCCCCAAGCTTCCCCTGCAGGGCAACTAAGAAATTGCTCCTAAGACTACTATACGCTGGACACTCCCACAACACATGACTCACACTTTCACAGTCATCATCACACAACAGACACTCCTTCATCCCCTCCCTCCCACTATGGCTACCCAGTTCCTCATTTAGCCCATGCGTGCCTGACCTGAACTTAAACATTAATCTAGACCCAGCATAATTATTCCCATGCAAGTACTTTTTGAACTCTACCACCTTGTTAAGTGATCTATTATACATCAATATACATATAAGGGGAAGAGAAGGCCAAAGTGTGTACTAGGTGGCTACGGCCTACAGTACTCCACTATTTTACTTCTACAATGCAGAATAATACACATTTCATGTTGGTTGATGGACTCAGTGGTCAACCGCAAGATTCCCTACTACAGCCATTATACAAGTGGAAAAA